GGTATATACTGCTATGCTGAATCGCACAGATAACAAAAGATAAGGGACGATCTTGAAGTTGTACGATTGAACTGATATCACATAGCTATTTTTTATCGTGTCAGATATATTTTGAATATTTCGTTATAGACATATATCCCATCAACGGTCTCGTGCTTCTGCCAGGTGTACTGTGCTGTGCCTATTTTCCATCCGCAGATATGTATATAATACCCTCGTTTTTAATGCATGCTTTGTGTCTGCTCCAGATAGGGTGTGCCAGTGGTGTCACTACATCCCGACTGGCCAACCACTGTAAGTTGGCAGTGGGAATTGACAAGAGCAAAGCCCAGCTGAAAGCAGCCAGGGAGCGAGCCTCAGACGTGCGCTTCGAAGACATAGCAGCGGATGATATCCCGGCGCTACTGAAATTGCAGGTAAGTGTATAGTGTGTGGGTATGTATTAGGTGTGTGTATATCGCATGTGTATGCCACATACGTGCATGAGATATCTATAGTATGTATGTATGTATGTAGGATGTGCGTGTCTAGTACACATTCTTTTGAGACGATTGTGTTTGACTGTGTGTTTGTCTTGCTTGCGCCTTTTTTTTTTTGCGTGGAACTGTGGGATAAAGACGAGAGCGAACCACAGTCAGAGACTCAGACGTCCGTATTGTTGACCTTATTCAGGACAGTGGACACGCATAGCCACATACATGCAGTGGACCTTTCACAAGTACATATATGCACGTGTACATGTATATGTTGTATTGAAGAGCAAGTTCATGTGCGTGCTTTGTGCACTTCTTGGACGATTGTGCTAGTGTTTCGTGTGTATGTCAGCGTTGTGTGTACCTTCAATGTATCTCTACGTGCGGCTTCGTACGCTTCTTGAAGGCCTATTACGAGAGCCATCCCTTGAACATCACAGAGTGTCGGTATTTGTTCCGTGTGTGAGTTGTTTCAAACTCTATATGTTTACTCCTGCGAACCCGGTTTGTGTTCCAGACTCTGATTGAAACTTCTTCAACTCGAGTGAGATTAAACCAGCGGTTTTAGATTTGATTGTGTATACCCATACATCTAAATATATGCATACTCATACAAACACTCACTTACACACACACACACACACACACAACAACACACACACACACAATATNTATATATATATATATATATATATATTTATATATATTATTTATTA